ATCATCATCATCTTCTTCTTCTCCCTTTCATTTTTATTTTTCTTTCTTCTTTCTTCTTCTCCCTTTCCTTCTACCTTTCTAATTCTTGCATTGCATGTCTTCATCTTTCCCTCTTGTTTCTACTTTTCTTTCATCATACCTTCTACCTTTCTTATTTTCATTTTTGGTTGCCTCTTGTTTCTACGTTTCCTTCATTTTCTTTCATTCTTTCATCTAAAGCTTTTTCTTTTCTTTTATTTATTTATTTTTTGTTATTTTCATTTATCATCCAATTATTTTTATTTGATCTACTAATAATTTTTTTTTTATTTTTGCAGATTATTAAGCTTAAAATCATTTTATAAGGTAAATTCACATTTTGATTTATATTTTTCATTTCCTTTTACTTAAATAAAATCTTCTAATGTATAATAATGCTTTTTCCTTTCCCTTTTACGGATATTTTTATTTTATTATAGGTAAATTCCTTATTATTTATCTTACTTGTCCATTAATTCTCATAATATTTGAATATTATTCTTGTTTTTCAATTATTTTCAAAATTATTTTTGATATATTGTTGTTGCACTTTATTGATTTTATCATTGAATTTTGTTTAATGACTTTATAATTTAATTAATAACTATAAAATTAAAAATTTAATTCTACAGTTTTTAATTCTAAATGTTTTTTAATTGTTGGAACAAGTATAATCAATAGTTTTTCTATCGATTATACTATTTTCAACCCGTATTTATTTAACAAATTTGGTTGTCGATTATGTCTGTCGATTATTCCCATAATGGACAGAACTTCTCTTATAATTAACAAAGATTTCTGTCGATTAAATCTTTGTTTTCTAGTAGTGTCTCACAATTATTTATTGTGATAATGTCAATGCTTTGTACATGTCTATCAATCCAATTCTGCATCAAGGTATGAAACATATTGAGATTGACTTGCATTTTGTTTAGGAAAGGATAGCATCTCAATTGGTGTCTTTCTGACATGTTCAATTCCCTTTGCTTATCAAGGGGTTGATACATATACTTACCAAGGCTCTTCTTACCTGTAACACCTTGAATTCTACATTGGTGGGAAATTATGAGTGAGTGTGGTATAAAGTGTATAAACCAACCATTATTAATAATTTGAATTTAAACTTTTGAGAATTCATGCACATCTCATGTGCTACTCTTGCCAATATTATTCCACGTTGCTTCTAAATAATAAATAATAAATTCCATATGCATGATTGCATTTGTTAACAAAAACAACTGTAACAAACATGGGATGTTGCAAAAATGCAGTGTGTCCACAGAACATGCAGAGGCAGGCCAAAAAACAAGAAGACACTGGAGACATGCATGGGTAGGGGACGTGGAAGGTAAATGACACGTGGAGAGATGTTATGGCCGCAAGGAGAAGTATGATTAGAAAGAAGATTCTCTTGTGCTCTGTTTCGGTTTTCAGTTACGCCTAGAGATGTGGAGCGGAACGTCTTCCAGTGGCTTTGCTGCCGCCACATTTCCAATGTGTGTCTGTCATTTTTGTGGACAAACAGACAAACGGCGTGAACTGAAGGGAAGGGACAAAGTAGATTCGTTTTTACATGGCGGAGGAGGTAGGAGATAATGACTGCCCCTTGTCCTCGTGGCTGTATTTTTCTATCAAACTATCATATGATATCCAAAATTCAATGGAAATAATAGTTAAGACTTGTTTCCAATTGCACATTAAAAAGAAAAGGACTCTCCAATTTCTTTTCTTGAAGGGTGCTGTTTTACTGGTTTGGCTTTCGATATTGTAAGGGTAAGCCCAGAGCTTCCCGCTAGAACAGCTACACGGTAGTTATGATGGACACCCTTGTATCTAGATATATCTCAATCTCTCGGTCCCGAAATAACTGCTTGGAGATACATATCAAATCCCGGATATTTTGCTTGGAATCTTAATTGGCATACCGCGTGGATTCTGCATCGGAACATATAAATACCCCTTTAGGGCCACGCAAAAAGGTGATTAAAAAACCAACCCTAAGCTCCTTGTTTCTCCGTTCCAAAGGTAACCCCGATTATTGCTGACTTAAGCATCGGAGTGTCTACCCCGAGGATCCACCTCGGGGCTTTGCAGGTTAATCCAGAGTGCAGATACGGACTGAAGAAGGACTTCCGGTTTGGTGCAGTTACAGATATTAAAGATTATTTTATTGGTTTTCATAGGAAGAAATAAATATTGAATAATAATCTCTCAATTCAACACATTTTGATTAGTTATTAAAATATAATATAAGTATAAAAAATTTAATTATTTTTTAAGGTTATATGCATAACTATATATTTAAATTTATTTACTTTTAATTTTAGATTAATAAATAATAATATTTTAATGAGTATATTGTGTTATGAGTTAAATTCAAGAGTATTGTAATAAGTGTCTATAAATCCAATGTGAATTGAAAGAAATAACATTTTTTTTTTATAAACTCAAATTTAAGGGTGAATTTGGATCGAGAGAGTTTGAGGAAAAGGAAAGGAGACTGAGTAGAAGGTCTTTCGTGTATTAAATGCTTAAATTGAAACATTTTCCAAGAACGTCTTGACATAGTTCACAAGTTGATAGCTATAATCTGTAACAGCCACTGACTAGATTATGCTAGCAAATGCTTAACAACTTCTTCTTCTCTGCAGATCATTATGAGGATGATGGTTAAGCCTTTATTCTTTAGAAACGTCCTACCTTTAAGATGCTTTTCATCATCAGCACCAAACATGCTCAAAATTGGAGACATTTTAAGGCAAACAAGGATATTCTCAAACGAAGATGTCTTTCAATATTCTAAAGTGACTTGTGATTTGAATCCTCTGTACTTTGACAAGGAATCTGCTTGAAATGCTAGATTCGATGATCGACTTGTTCATGGCTTGCTTGTCGCTGCTTTATTTCCTTGTATTATTTCTTCCCACTTTGTGAGTCACACTTCTATTCCGTTTCTTGATTTTTCTTCAAATTTTATACACGGTAGTTTATGAGTGTTAAATGTAGTTATTGGTTGATGATTGGCAAGTGATCAAAATAACTCTCGTCAAGTTTTTGGTTCTATACATTTTGAAAGGGACTTTATCACTAGATAATTGGATTATAATTTTCATCTAAAGGAGGAAGAAATCTTCTGAAGCTAAGTACATACGGATGCAACCTCTAGGCAAGTCTGCCTGGGTTAGAATTTTCAAGTGCAATGTGGGCATTGGTAGCAGAAGAGTGATTTTCCTTCATGGCTTTTCTGTATTCATTTTCAATCATTCTATGTAGCTTCTCCTATATTTTCAATAATAGTCCTTGTGGAAGCCTTAATTTACCTTGTTTTGATGTGGGCATTTCAAAATTCTGTCTAGCCTTTTGATCATTTGAAACTATTTAGCCAGGAGCTGTATATGTTTCCCAGAGCTTGAACTTCAAGTCGCCAGTTTACATTGGAGAAGAAATTCTTAGGGAGGTCCAAGCTGTTAATCCAAGGGAAAACAAAAGGATAAACGTGTGAGATACAAACTGCTTTCTCATTTTGTTGTATGTGAAAAACTTATTATGACCTTTACTATAAGTTTTCGATTCCAAGGTTTAGGGCAAAATTCTCAACAAAGTGTTTCAATAATGGTGAGATTCTTGTTCTTATTGGTGAGGCCACAGCTATCTTGCCGACTTTAATGATCGGCCTCGCCTAGTGCATTCTGAGCTAAAGTTGTAAATTAACCACATTGATCAGGATGCCTTTTTGCAATTTTGTTTTATAATATTAGTTAAAATGGCCATAAATTCTTAAACTACCAAAAACTCTCTGCTCTTTTGCCTTCGTTTCAACCTTCTTGGTCTAATTTATAGATCTCATAAATTCCATTAAATTCTGTGTCACATTCAAGCCTTTTCTGGCCAGCACACTACTCTGGGGTATGGTTATGGCTGCACGTCATTTTATAAAGGCTATTCCTTGATAAATTCTGTAGAAATCTGGGGATCTCTATTCATTGTACAATCATGAACGGTGATCAGGAGGAGCAGTATGAGGCCAGGTACAGTGGTGGCACTGCTTGTTATGGCGCCAAAGCAGAGGATTGGAAGGATGTAGCAGGAGAGTTTATGAGAGAAGCGGGGGAGATGAGCATGGAGTTTGGAAAAGGGTGCAGGGATATCGTGCTGCAGAGTCTAGTGAGGGAGGATTCATATTTAGTGAGGAATTTTGGGAAGGATTCGTATATTGGCTGGAGAATTATAGGTACCCGCGGCAAGGTCTTCTGGCGATTGAAGTTGTTTAATGAGTACTTGGAGCTGGAGGATAAGGTTCCGGTAGATGCTTGGTCCATAATCTTGTTTGTCTTTGTTCTTGCTCTTGCAGGTGGATGCCTTTGTATTTTTATTTTCTATACCCTTTGGATTAAATGGTTAGGTGATGAAGGAAACGAAATGGGTTTCGGTTTTCTATGTTATTTGAGTCGAATAAGGGAATCCTTGTTTTTCAGTTTTGTTCTATGACAAATTCTCTGGGAAATTTGAGATTGCCATTAAGCTGATTTTAATCGAAGTTATTTAATATGCATTTTCCTTAGTCTGGTATGATTTGAAAGTGTAGGAAAATGACATGAGAATTTTTTGTCTTCTTTACTTTTTGGAACAGACAGTTTTTGTTTTGTCAAAGCTTATTGTCAATCCATGATTGCGTTTGCCTCTTTGCTCCAAATGTTTCACCTTGCAAATGAAGAATTTAAAGTTTTTATATAGACTCAGTTAGGTAGCATTGAACTTTGTAATCTTAATTTTGTGGTTGAAATTTCCTATTATGGATCATATTTTCCTAAATTGAAAATTTCTAATATTTGATTGCTTATTATTCTTCCTCATTATTGGGACACAGTATTGTCTAATACAAATCAATCAAGTAAAAATTATATGTTTTTGGCTGCCAAGTGATCAAAGTTGTCCCCATGCTGCTGCAAAGTGTTGTCAGGGGTTATGCATTCATCCTCTTCCTTTTCTCTAGAGTTAATTTCAAAAATGCTGGGAAAGTCAACACACAGCATATCTTTAGATGTTTACTCTGGTCATTTATTAACAGCACAAACTAATCTGCAGTCTTAGTGTAAATACTGAACAGGAAACTCCCATGTACACTTCCAAAGAAAGTGTAAATACACCCACCAAGTCAATCTTATTTTGCTAGCAGATGGTAGATATATGGCTTATAGAGAGCAAG